TTTCCCTTTGCTTCTAGGTAACTCTGCTAGCTGCTGTCATTTGTATGGAAGGTGCTAATAGTTAGATAAAGGAGCATTGTGGGGTTATTGCATGGAAATGACTTGACATTATCACATAATGGGATCCTTATTGCTGTTAAACTGTAACAGCAAATTGGATAATTCTGCGTCAACCACAGGCATTAATTGAAGCGGACCTTTTCTGTGACCAACACTAGGTATGTAGACAGTCGGGTCTGCCCACCAACAAATGGGCCATGTGGTCTGGGGATCAAGGTGAAAAGCTAGTCCTTTAATGAGAGAGGTGCTTCTGTAATTCCATCCATTTTGGCAGGAGGAAGAACCTCAGCTTCAGGACAGAAAAGAAGCAAATGTCACAGAGAAGAATCTGGACCTTTTTTTCTACCTTGTCATTTGGACTCAGGCTTTTTGGACTTCAAGGCACTCAGCAAAGTAGGGCAAGTCAGTTGAGGCTGATTAGCAAAGATAGTAATAGATCCTCATCTCTTCTCTGCTTTGCAAAGGTGTTCATCCCCTTATGTAAGGGACTCTGCAGGCAGTGTACAGCCACAGTAGCCAGCTCTAGTAGCCCTCCAGTTTCTCCTCTTTGTCCCTGAGCAGGAGGTATGCTTGGGCATGTATTAGGAGTCTTGCCTGAGTGCATTGTACACCAGTGATCCCAGGCTACTCAATCAGCTTGTCCCCATAAGGGACAAAACAATTCGCTATATTTCAGGAGCAGTACAGACCTGCCCATCTAGCCTTGTTTGCATTTGAACCTGGAAGTCAATTTCTGCCTTATCTGAGGAGTTGTTTGTAAGGCTGAGCCTTTGACTCAAACATCTGGCAAGAGTCTCAAGGTAGCTAGGTGGCTTCCTTTCTTGGAGAAGTGGAAAGTGTTTCTCCTTATACAGCTCCTCCCTTTTACTCCTTCTGACAGATTGTGCCATGTATGTGGAGGAAGAAGTGAGTAGCTCTCTGACTCAGGAAATGGAGACCCCCATCTATTTGATCAAGAATGGGGAGAAGGGAAAACTAACAGCCAGACTAGCTGCCCTAGAGATTGAGCTCCATGAAGAGGCCGCTGGTGGTGGTAGCAGTCTTGATACAGAGTAAAAAACAAAAGAAAAGAACAATACAAACAATTCTATATTTACCAATCCTAGGGCTGTCATCAGAGTCAAAGTACATCTGGTTAGGATGCAGGCTTCACTCTGAGGCTCTCGCTCTTAAGTGTCAGCAGTCTGAAGGTGGGATGCCGAGGCCTACAGCCCCCCTCCAGTGGGGTGCATGAGATGGGCTATCAGTAAACCCTTGGTCCATGGTGGCCTTGGGGACCCTTCTTGGGAGGACAGAGATGGGAACCCCTCTCAGGAAGCAAAACAAGGAGGGACCCTTTTTTAATCTCAAGTCTCTGCTTTTGTATTTTCCTTCCCCCTTGATGACTCTTCATCTGTGGCTATCTCTGTTTAGTTGTCTCTGTGGTCACACATCCATGTAGCCTTCTGAGCCTTCTCCTAGTTTGGTCGGTTCCCCCAAAACCGGGACTTGGGCCCCCTTGCTTTCAGGGGCCTTGTTGCTGGTGGCACTTAAGCTTTTGTTATGGGACAGTATGGTACATACTTCCTTTGCTTCCCAGGCTGTTTCCTAGACTGTGTCCTTGTTGTGTTAGACAACCTATCTGCCTTGAAGGATCTTGGGTTATGGTATGCCCCCCTTTATTCTCATGCTGTGTCCATCCATTGGCCTTGTTGTGCTAGGCAGCCCAGCTACTTCCAGGGCCATGACAAGCTGTGTGTGCCTGTCCCAAGCTCTTTAGAAATCAAATTAACCCCTGCTGCCCATCTTGACACTTTATAATACATATATCTATACCTATAAACCAATTCCTAAAAAACAGGCCTTTAAATATCATTTCTAAGCCAACAACACTAGACCTCTAAATTACTACTTTGACCAGTGTTCTTTAATGAAAAAAGCAGTATTGGCAGCCCTTTTTCAGATTTAAATTTATCTGTCTGCAGAATGGATAGAGGATGGGTGGTGGAAATGAAGGATTTCCCCAGGCACCTTATGCCAGTCTGGGGAGACCATCTCTGCAAGTCTGGGAGGGGGTTCAGGAACCTAGCTTTTCTTCCTGTGGTTGCCAAAAGGGGAGACGGTCATTACCAATTGTGGCAGTACCTGTGAATATGAGTTTCATTTTGGTAAAATAGGCAGATGTCTTGCTGGAAGCTGGTGTGAAAACACCAATTTATTGTTGCATACAATCAAGGAACTGTTAGGTGGTAACAACACAGGGTCACTACAGCCCAGGGCTGCTTTTTGAGCAAGGTATCTAGTTAGAATAGGCTCCATATCTAATTTTTTTGATTTAACTATGCTTCTTGATATAGGACCATGCTGGAGCTGGTGCCTTACAATGAAGGGCTTCTTACTTTGTCCTCAGTTCTCTTTACAAAAATTGATTCACCTTAGTTCCTAACAGGTCTCATTTACTCTGCAACATTTTCCATGTTCTTTTCTCAAAGTGGACTTAAGCCAGGGTGACCATCTGCTGCAGTTGGCTTTACTCAAAGAGCAGCATGGCTTCCTTAATGGAGGATAGTGAAGAATGAAAAAGAATATGTGAGGAAAAGCAAGGTGATCTTGAGCTGTGGAAGACAGAAGCCCAGCTATCAGGGTTGGAAAAAGAGAGGTAGGGACAGTTACGAAATGACAGTCTGTCCTGATTTCTCAGGTAGAGTTGCTCTGGTCATTCAGTAGGGCCCTGGGATGCTGGTGTGGATGTAAATCCTCTATCGGGCATCTCTGTAATAACAATAAGTATTGAAATCTCATGTGCAAGCAATTTTGCAGTCCAGGAGGGGATGAGAAGCAGTAATGGGGATTATAAGAATTATTTCTACAGAAATGTTTCTTTTGTGCCAATGACAAGCATTCTGGTGGGTGTGTCAGTCTGCCCACCTAGAGTGCGATAGTGTTTGCAGAGACGAATCCACAGCTGAGGACAGTGGAGATGAGTCCAGTCTCATTCACACAACATATATTGGACACTAAAGCTCCGTGCAAACTCCTCGCTTTTCTCTCTTCTCCAGCAAAGCTCTCTCTCAGACCTGGCCTCGTTGGGTATGAGGGGAAATAAGTGCCCCAGGCTGTTATTACAGAAGTTACAGGTTTGTGACAGGGAGACTGAGAACCAGTGGCGTGCTGCTATCACATGTTCCTCCTCTGCTACTTTCAGATGCCAACTGGAAAACTGACATCCCCTACATATTTACTCTCTGCATGTGTCGGTTTCTTATAGTTACAAGACAGTTGTAACCCCTTGCTCTGCCCTGCCCTGCCCTGCTTACTAGCAGAGCTTGACACAGCCATGGGCAAACCAGGTGGCTGCCTGAGGTCCAGACAGAAAGGGGGCCTGAAAATGGTAATTTTTTTTTTCCATTGTCCGATTATTATTATCATTCTCTCTGGTGAAGTGGGGCCCAATACTTTGCCCGGGGCCGCCAGGAGTCTAGATATGGTGCTGCTTACTAGTCAACATGGAAGAGCTGGTAAACAAGGAAACTGTCTGTAGTTCATTCCTTACAGTTCTACAGGTCTGAATATGTTATGCCGTGGCAATGTATGGCCCATCGACTGGATCTAGCCCATGGACCCCTGGATCTGGACTCCCTCACCTTGTCATGAGACAGCCTTATCACATATTTTATCCTCTTTATTTGAAAAGCAACAAGAATCCTCATGTGCATGTTTTATTTCCTGTATTCCAGTAGCATCTAAATGTAAGGTGTCACTCTAGCTGTACAACATGATGATGATGATGATGATAATGCTGCTGCTGATAATAGGTATCCAGGTTGTAGTCACGTTGGTCTAGAGGAAAAGGCAATCAGGACTCATAGTAGAGATGATATCTATTATTAAACCAACAAGATTTTTGCAAAAAAAATTCTTTAATTGCAAGCTTTTGGGCATAAACACCCTTCATCAGGCATTGGAGAAAAGATTGTAAAAGTTTGCCTGGGTAGAAATTAAATTTCATGTTTCATAGGATTTCACAGAGGAGTCAACAGATGGAAAACTCCTCTGGGCTGATAATAGATAGTTATACAGCTGTGCAACAGAAGTCTGTTTGTTTCTTATTTTCTTCCTACCATATTTTCCCAGGCTAACTGTACCTTTAACTCCTCCCAGTTTCTTTCAGTGCTCTCTTCTTCAATCTTAGGTCTGCCAGGTATCTTCTCTCCCTCTGGTGGAGTCGTGTAACTCCTGTGTCCTAAGGTTGGGTCCTGAAAATACAGTCCTCAGTCCTTCAACTACAATTACCTCAGTAGGCTGGACTTCCCATCAGTGCCTGAACTGCTGTTCTTCTGGAAAGAATGGCAGTACTGGTCACCCTAGAATTAGAGCATTAAAGCCATGTGATGAACATTCAGCTACCCCTAACAGAAGTGATGCATTTGGTCTCAACAAGTTGGTTATGTGTCAGCATTATCTCCATGTCAGTCACTTTGGTCTGATTTTTTTGTTGCTCTTGGTGTGCAACCTGGGGCTGGCAAATTATTTCTCTGTCTTCATGGGTTCTTTGTTTTCTTGCAAGATTTTGAAGACCAGACCGATTCTTATTATTTTGGCCAAAGTCTTCAGAAGTGGTTTATGACTTTCCCCTGGTTTCAGGTGCTCACAGCTGGTTGAGATAAATTCAGGCCTTTCATGTCTTTTCAGAAAATGGTCAGAGTCTGGAAAACCCTGATCTCAAGCTGAGCCATCAAGCCCTGAGGCACTCAAAGTCCCTAGTTCCTTTAGAAAACTGCCCTGTGCTTGTCAGTGTTAATAGCTGGCTTTACTTTTAAGTTCAGTGTAAAACATGAGCCAGTAAATGAAAATGGATTTGGTTAAACAGTTTATGCAACTCATTCCAAGACTCAGGAAAATCAGGTTACTCATGGTGCTTGTAGTTACAATCTAGAGATGCTCTCTTAACATAGGAGACTGAGAAAGGGGGGAATTGGGAGATGGTCCTGGAGTTAAAATGGAGCTAGTTAGAGACAAAAGGTTTGCAGCAACTTGCTTACTGTTCCATAGTAAAAATAGTTTAATTCTTCTCATTCATGCCTGGTTGAACATTAAAGCTATCCCCAACCTAAGTTATGCATCTGTCTCAACAAGTTGGTTACATATCGTTATTCTGTCCATCACTGCAACCAGTGATCACTACAGCGCTACCATAGATGACAGTTGATGGCATCTGCTTCAGGTACTAGGGGCTGCAAACTTTTCCATGCAAGAAAGTCCAATCTTCCACAGCTCTTTGCCAACCTAGTAAGCAGCAGGTGTAGGACTGGCTATGTGGAAATGTTGCAAGAAACCTCTGATTAATGTATGTTAATTGTGTTAATCAGGCTGCTGGAAAAATGATGGGGGAAATTAGAATATTGGTTAGTTAAGCTGACAGCTTCCAGGCTCTTCCAAACCTTGTTCCTGCTGCGCATGCTTAACAGAACAGCAGGACATAACAGAAACCTGGGGTATAGCGAAGGGAGCCTGTTTCCCTTTTACAGAAGCCAGGCCCTCCCAGATTACCACTCCCCTCCATAGATTTGTATCATCACAGCAGAGGAGGGGCTAGAGAGAAATGGGAGCCAGGCTTTATACCAGGAAAAGGGGAGGGTGTCAGAAGGGAAAAGAGTAGAGAAGGACAGACAAATAAAAACTCAGAGAGAGAAAGCAACAGAAAGGGAATGAGTGAAAGAAAGTGAGATAATAGAGGGGAGGCAGACAAGCAAAGGAGGAAGCAGCAAAGAGTACAAGGTGAAGGGGGGGAAAGGAAAGAGATCATGGAGCGTCTTTTCCGGCTTTGGTCCCAGCTTGCATCCTACTGGAGCAGTTTACTCACACTGGGCTTCTCCCTCACAGTCTTTGCTCTGCTATTTGTTTTCATAAAGCGCAGTAGAAGCTGGAGTCGCTACCCACCTGGGCCAACCTCTTTGCCATTCCTTGGGACCATCCTGCAGGTCAATTTCTACAACCCTCACCTCTGCTTCAACCAGGTAAATGCTAGTGGGGCTGCTGCCTTTCCCAGAGTGAAGCTGGTCCTGGTTTGGGAATCCTAGAAAGGTTATTTCCCATGCACAAATCTTTGTCAACACAGTAATATGATCCCTGTAGGGGGGAGGGTTCAACATTGCCCCATTAGTCCTGAAACCTTATTTGGGGCTGCAGTTGCCTCAGTCCAGAGGGCGACGTTCTACTCCAAAGTCCAGACTAACGTTTAGCTAAGATCTGTGTGCACAGGAGCAGAGACTGTGTTTGTGTGTATGTGGACATGCATACCCCTACTCGCAGCCTATTTCAATTCTTTGTGTAGTTTTTTTGGGAGATGCAATATAAACCAAGCCTGACTTTTTGTATGCCCCTCATGCAAAAGTCAGGATAGAAGTGCATCTCATAGACTAACTGAATCAGAGGTGCATAAGTGCTTATGAGCAAGAGCTCACTTTGGTTGATCTTTCATATTATACTGTCAAAATGCTGCAGGATTCTGCCCCTAAGATGGCTGGTGAAGAAGTACCATCTCTGTAGCACTTTGAGATCCCTTGGGATGAAAAGGGCTAGAGCACTGATTCTCAACCAGGATGCCACCACGGGGTCCTTTGAGATCCTTTCAGGTGTGCTATGGGGTGCAACACTGCTAGGTATGCCAACATAATTCACAAGATAAACCCAGAGATTTCAGAGGAATCCGTAGTCTTAAAAACATTCTGACCTGTTGTGGTCTTGATGAGCTCTTTGCAACAGAAAAAAATCCTGTATTATTTTTCCATAGTCAAAAAAATAGTGAAAACTAAGTGCTGGCATTTTCCAAGAAGTTCCTTGAGTTTAAGGCTGGGTGCCTTGAGCCTGAAAAAGTTGAGAATTCAGGGCTAAAGAAAGCTTACTATATAGGAAAACTTTTTTCCCTGGACAGATGTTTCTGATTTGGAGATTTGGCTGTTGAATAGCATAATCTGTAAACTAGCCTTATAGTACTGGAAGCATTTGAAAGTCTCAGCAAAGTTGAAACAGTTGGGGGCTCCATCTATACAGCTTTAAATATCTTGCTTGCTGTAGCAACGTTAATTATTCAGCAAGTGTACGCTTCCATTTTTCTTTTAAGGAAAATATGTTGCATCTTAAAGCAAATACATCTTGCTTTGTCTTGTGGTTGAACCTGCAAACTCTACAGGCCCTGTTCTAGTTTGGCACCATTGCAGTCATGTTTCCAAGTGGAGAAATTGACCTTGGATCATGGATTTTTTTGCCAGAGAGTAGGAAAAGCCATTTGTGTTTCAGGATCAAATCAGATTATAACAATCCTTGTCACTGAAGTGTTGACTAGAGACTGCTTTTTAGAGCACTTTTTTAGTTGGACCATCCTACCCATTTTTTGGCCCCATTTCTGTCTCATAAGCAGAAATGAAAACAGCTTCTATTACTTGGAGAAAAGCAGGAAGTAGAAATAGAAATGGCATTTTATCCTATCACCCTGCCACCTCTTTTTAAGTATATTCCTGAGGGCTTTATCCAGTCGTAATGACTGGCAATGAGGTTTTCACCAGTTCACCTGTGGGCTGGCACCCCTGTCTATAAGCTTAGCTATGGGAGGATGTCAATGTTCAGTAAGCTAGGGTGGGAATTTGCAGTGCTGGCTATTCTGAACTAACTCCCTGTGTGGACCCTCTTAGTGCATGAAAAGTATGAGGCAGTGCAGTGAGATACCTTTAATAGGTCTCACATGCAGTCCATGCAGGGAGTTACTGTGGAGTACCTAGCTCTGTGTATTCACCTCTGACTTGTGTAGACAGGCCCAAATTGGTTCCTTGATGTTCAGAGACTACATTACCTATTTTTAGACCCATTTCCTTACTCCAGCACCCATAAAATGATTCCCCTTATCACCTTTCAAATGTTTGCAGGCAGTGGTTCTGTTTCCATAGCTTGGATATTTGGTCAGTTGACACAGCTCATTTAATCTTTCATCATTCCTTGGCTTGTCTATTTTTTTTTTAAATCTTTGATTTACTCTTTGAATTCAGTCCTAGTTAAACAATACCTATCTGCTACGGAGGTGAGCACTCGGCGTTACCACAGAAGTAGCTGTGTCATCGCCTTCCAGAGGTGGGTCATCGTCCCCTTGTTCAGTGATACCACTCTGGTGAGGCAGGAGTGCTGTTCCTTAACAGCTAGGCAGCTATGGGAGTAGATGGCATAGAAAATGGGTGGTGGTAAATTGTGGGTTTGTATTTTCCATGCTCGTACCCAGAGAATGGATTTATTCCCCCTGCCCACAATACTTTGGTCCCAGAGGAGTGTACCCCTTTCACACTTATATTTACAACCCTCAATTTCCTGGATAAGAGCTGAGAAATCCTGGTACCGTTGAAATGGGACAAAGTAGCCAAAAGCTGGTGTAGCCAAACACAGCAAGTTCATTTTAATACATGGGTGGCGGAACCCTCTTCTCATCTGATGATGATCAGCTACATAGTAACTGCTGTACCACCCCTTTCTAACAGCTGGAAGGCGTGGACAGGGTGTCTCTGTGCCCTGCTTCCTCCAGTTGCTGTGATGACCCTTGGGGGCCATTGGTATCTGCTGCAATTTTGAATTTTGAGCTGCCAGGGTAATCTCACTTCTAGGTCAAGGTTACTCAACCCCTGGGCCACAGAGCCATGGCATCCATGCCACAGGATTCCCTGAGAGTCAGGAAATTTGGTTGTGGAGGTCATTCATACTGCCACCCCTCCCCCGCTGTCAGGGCCCATATTGTGGGCCCTGACAGCCCACAGCCATATCAGGGCCCATATTGGGGCTGGACCACACCCCTTCACCCCATGCAACTGGATTGAGGTTGGGCCATGCCCCCTGTCCCCTTCACATGGCTGAATCAGGCCCTGCCATGCCTCAGATTAGGCCCATCGGCTGGATCCAGCCTGCAGATGTAAGTGCTGCCCATCTGGCCCACAAGTCAAAAATGTTGAGCACCCCTGTTCTAGGGAAATGGAACTGGATTGGCGCACAGCCGAGCCAGGATCAGGGTAGCTGGTGGATAAAAAGGGCTTTGCAACTCAGCAGGTAATATGCACCAAACAATCTTTGGGTGCATCCAACTCCACAGAGCCATTCAGGTCCTGGCCTGAAATTCTGGACCTAAGGTCCAGGACCTTCTTGCTTCCTTTCTAGCTATAGGATCCTCCTTTTTACAATGATGTTCTGGTTTAAGTACCTAATCAACATTAACACTTGGAATCACAATTGGTAATAGTTTCCTTTGGTCTAAAGATCATTGCCTTCTGCTCTGGTGTTCATAGGAGAACTGTATCACATTTTAAATTCCTTCTTATATCTAGAGGTGAGCCATCTCACTGTATATTTAGCAATAAAAGGCCAACCACATCAGTGAAGGTGGAAAAGAAACTGCTCCCCTCCTACTCCCCGGATCCATGCTGTGACAGGATTATGAACCTTGTGCAAGCAATTTCTCATAATGGAAACACATAAACAACTCCAGGTTAACTAGCTACTCAGGTCACCTGTGTTTGAGCTGTTCCATGGGCCATCTTTGAAGATGCCAGAGGAGTCCTAACTTCTTGTACTCATTCAAAATCACAAGGGTGTTTTTGAGATTGCTGGCCAAATTTTACCTTGGGTGTAGTTTTGTTCTGCTAACTTAAATTCTTCTAAATTACACTTTCAGCTAATAATGGTTGTTTTTTTCCACTGCCTGTGAAAGGTGCTGTGGTAAGTTGCCATGAGTTGTTGCTCTGCAGAAATATTTGTATCATTAGTTGATCACTAAAGTTCTTTGTGATAAAGATAATTTGTGATAATTTTACAGATTCACAGAAGTTTAGGACTGGAAGGCACCTTATGAGATCAGTCAAAATCCTCCAAAACTCTTAGATACATTTTAGCATCACACTCTAAAAAAAAACAAAGCACGTCCTGGTTTTCAGCCATAGAAATCAACAGCTTTTCTTTTTTCTTTTTCTCTTGACAGCTGAGTAAGAAGTTTGGGAATGTTTTTAGTCTTCAGTACTTCTGGACTAACGTGGTGGTGTTGAACGGGTACGAGGCAGTGAAGGATGCACTGGTCCAGAAAGCAGAGGACTTTGCTGACCGACCTTATTTTCCTAGATATGAGCACCTAGGTTATAACAAGCGCTGTGAAGGCAAGTGCCGTGAAAACTAACATCAGTTTCTGACAGTAGTTCAGAGATGACGGGCTTGTAAATTGGAGGGGAATTGGGCAGTATGCTGCATTCTTTTCTTGTCCCTTTACTTACGCTTCTTGTGCTGGAACCTGACTCTACCACTGCCTCATAGTTTCCTCCCCTTCTCTTGGCTTTAGTGAGCAGATTGAACTGCTACTGGGTATAATAGGAAGTGGCTGTTCTGTAATGTTAAGTAAGATTTTCAGGGTTACTTGTACCCCTTGTCACCCATAATCAGAACTGGTGGATTTCTATTTCATTCATGTTTCTCATGTTCTGTATGTTGCTTTGTCAGTTTGTAAAGAAATATATATTTTACAAGGAATCTCCTGGAACTGACAGTGAATATGTGGGAGAGTAGAAAGAAATAGAGTCTGAAAGGGAGGCTTGTTAGTCTGGTACCATCTTGGATTATCACAAATTCCTTCCATAACATCCTTCCACAATATAAAATTGGAGCTGAGAAACCTTTAGTCACAACTTGTCAAAGAAACAGAGACAAGAAGGTTTGGAGGGTACCTCCAGAGGTCATCTAGTCCAAACTTTTGACTGAGAGAAACCATCCTTTCCCTCTCCCACACTCTAGCCAAGGCAAAAGTGTTTCCTACAATACCATCTCCAGCGGTTCTATCCAACAGTTTAATCCTTAGGAAATGTTTTCTGACCTGAGGCTCATACCCTCAAATCTGGTATACTGGCAAAACACCATTGATCACATCAATTTATATAAGTTGAGGAAACGACCCCAGATTTTTTTCCAAGTTGTATTACATATCATTGCTTCCAGGTACACTTTGTGCCTTTCAGATTAATTCCTCCTCTTAACCAGCTACACAGGGGAAGGTTGAAACCATAAGTCCCTTTCATTTGTCAAGCTATGCATATTCTTCTGCTTTCATCTTTCCTCCCAAGTCAGTTCTCTAAGCCCAATTTTGTTACTTGTCAGTGAATTTTGTCTGATATAGTTCATAGAGCTCCTTATATATCCTGCTAAATAATTGTCTTTCAGGGTTAATAATCTCAAGGTACGGTCCTGCCTGGAGAGAACAAAGGAGATTTGCACTCTCCACCTTGAAGAACTTTGGGATGGGAAAGAAATCTTTGGAGAACCAGATTTCTCAAGAAGCTGGATTTCTGTGCTCTGCATTCAGCTGTAAAGAAGGTTTGTCTCATCCAGGGAGATGGGGAATTGGATTTAGATAAGTCATGTATAAGGAAATAATTTCGGAAGGAAGACATTCTAATTTCTGTATGTTGCCTTCTATCCATAAAGATATTAGAATGCTTTGGGCACCAAAAAGATAATGATCACGCACCTAGCACTATCACGTAGCCCAGGGGCGATGCGTAGGGGGTGCACGTGCACCCCCTGTGGTGCCTGTGGGCAGTCACCGCTCGCCGCTGACACTGCCGGTGGCATCTGCGGGTGGTCTGTGATCCCTGCTGGCTGCTGCTGCCAGCAGCCGCTGCAGGTGGTCGCTGACCCTTGGTCAGCACCTGCCGGGGCCGCCCCCCCCCCGCCCCGCCACTGCCAGCGGCATCTGCGGGAGCTCCCCCACTTACGCCGCCATGCTCCCACCACCGCTGTGCCCCCCAACCATTGGGGGCATGTGTCATTCATGATGTAGCCAGCTCTGGTCTACGTCCTGGCATTATTTTCACAGAATATCCATTTGGGATTGAAAATTATGTCATAATTTCTTTTTTTTAGGTCACCCTTTTGATCCACTTTTTTTTCATAGTTTCATAGTTTCAGGGTCGGAAGGGACCTAATAGATCTTCTAGCCCGACCCCCCGCCAGGGCGGGAGAACAACCCAAAAAACACAAACAAAACCACTCACCCTAAAAACAAAAACGGGACTCAAATGAGTCCAGCCAGGTAAGTATCCAGCCTCTTCTTAAAGATCCCCAGGGTAGGGGCCAGCACCACCTCCCTTGGAAGTTGGTTCCAGCTCCTAGCCGCCCTGACTGTGAAGTAGTTTTTTCGGATGTCCAATCTGTACCTCCTCTCCATCAACTTGTGCCCATTATTCCTTGTTATGCCAGCAGGGGCTAGGGGAAACAGCGTCTCCCCCAAACCCTTCTGGTTCACCCTAGTGAGTTTATAGACGGTCACCAGGTCCCCCCTCAGCCTTCTCTTGTGGAGGCTGAATAGGTTCAAGTCCCGCAGTCTCTCACTGTAGGGTCTGCCCTGTTGTCCCCGGATCATGCGGGTGGCCCTCCTCTGGACCCTCTCCATGTTGTCCACATCCCTCCTGAAATGGGGCGCACAGAACTGGACACAATACTCCAGCTGCGGCCTGACCAGCGTCGCATAGAGGGGGAGGATCACCTCCCTGGCTCTACTCGAGATGCACCTGTGGATGCACGACAAGGTCCGGTTAGCCCTGCCAACCATGACCTCGCATTGTCGGCCCATGTTCATCTTGGAGTCAATAATGACACCAAGATCCCTTTCCGCCTCCGTGCTCTCAAGTAGGGAGCTCCCCATCGTATAAGTGTGCTGCTGGTTCCTACTACCCAAGTGCAGCACCCTGCACTTGTCCGTATTGAAACGCATCCTGTTCCTGTCTGCCCACCCCTGTAACCTATCCGGATCCTTCTGCAATCTCTCTCTCCCTGCTAGCGTGCTCACCTCCCCCCAAATTTTGGTGTCATCAGCGAATTTAAACAGCCTATAAACAGCTTATAAAGAAGGCAGTTTCCAATGTGATCTACTCTCTTACCTTTGGTGAACGCTTTGACTATGATGATGAGAAATTTCAGAGGCTTGTGGAAATCTTTCAACAGGCCATGAAGGAAGAGACTGGATTCTTGCCCCAGGTAAACCAGCAAGGATAATTTACTCAGTGAGAAGCTACTAATGATTGAGCAACCAGACGTGTTCTATTAACCCTTTGTCTCGCTCACTTTGGTATTCTAGCTCCTTAATGAAGTGCCTTTTTTGCTACGCATCCCTGGAGTGCCACAAAAGGTGTTTCAATACCAAAGGGCCTCCGTGAGCTTAGTGGATGAGATTTTGAACAAGCACAAAGAGACCTGGGAGTCTACCCATATCAAAGACTTTACTGATGCATTTCTACAAGAGGTGGAGAAGGTAGGAAACCAACAGGACCTCTTTGAATGTATAGTTTTGTGCTTGGTGAATACACTAGTAAAGGAACAATCTCTATTGGTTCCTTTCATATATAAAGCAACTCATATGCTCTTGTGTATGAAGCAATCTGCAAATGTTACAAGCAACGTTGTACAGTGAATAACTCATTTCTCTTTTGATGTTCACTTATCACTAGTACATGGATCAAGTGGCTCAAGTCTGAATAACAAAGTAATATGGTAGGATGCCAACCTACTCTTTTCTTTAATATGAACTTGCAGAATGTATATTTCAGAGGTTCTGGTATACAGACTAGATTCCACCTGGAGAACCTCTGTGATTGTATTAACGCTGAGAAGGTAGTGATTGTTGTGCATCTGAGACTCTTAGCTTAGTGAGTTCATGCTCAGAAATCACTTGGAGGATGTGCTGGTACTAGGAGATTCCATTTTGTACTGAAGATTTCATACAGTATCCAGTGAAGTTGGTGAAAAGAACCCCCATTAATTCCAGTGGATGCTGTATCTCATCCTTAGCTCTCTCACTTGTGGAACAGCACTGATGTAAACCAACTAGGTACATAATAGGTTTTATCTTCTTTATATAAGTCCCAGGAGAAATGCTAACTACAGGTTGCTGACTATACCTAGTTGGAAAAACACTCCATGCCAAAAATCCAATCAATCCATTTTTATATCTGTTTAGCCATAGCTCTGAAACCTCAATGATTCCAAAGCAGCTGAGAGAAACTGAGGGTAGACAATGGGAGGAAACATCAAGGATTGCTAAGGCATGGCAAGAAGTAGTAGAGCCCCTGAGGTACACATGTGCAAAAAACCCCCATTTGTGGATCTGTACAAAACAGGCACAGGTGTTGATATAGGCTATGGATATACATGTCTAGCAGTGGCCTTAGGGACCTGTGGCTTGTATTATTGCAAACCATTTGGGGTGTGGTCTCTAGCCACTTAGAAGCTGAACAGCCCTGTCTTATCTTATTGACACTTTCTGAAGATCATTGGAAAACTGCTTTTCAGAGGCTTCTGGTTCAAAGGCCTCTTCCATTTCCAGTCCTTTGCTTAAATTATAAATGTATGTACTTTGGGGAAAAAAACATTAAAATAGATGGATCTGCTACTACAGCTATGTTCTGTTTCCCTCTGTGAGCCTAGAAGGAAAGTAGGAAGAGAGCTTATTAAGAAAACATATTCCTTGTGCTTTCTTATGCTTCTTTCCATTTTTGTTTAGGTGCTGAATTATTAGCATTGTGCTGATAAAGTCTAGTTTGGGTTATCTTAATCTTCTAGTGATTTAAGTGAATTTAATTGCCAAAGCAGTGAATTTGCAGGGCTTCAGTTAGTTAATTGGCCAAGTATTTACCAATTCCCCTGCTTTGTGCAAAGCAGGGACATACTGTATTCCACAGACATGCAGACTTGTTAATACTCGATGCTATCTTAGAGTGTTTAGTACATGCACCCTGCTTTATGACAGAATTTCAGATTCCATAGAGTATGAACAGTCATGTTACCCACTGTAGGCTGTAGAAGCTTGAATACTACAGCAGCCAGTGGTAGATTTTGCTTTAGTTCAGATGGTAAGAGCCACTATTTTCAGACAGATGGTCCTGAATGTAATCCTGGATATCAACTTGGAGATCCATGTTGCCTGGGTATGGGGAATAACTGATGACCTTCAGAAATACATAACTATAGAGTTACTACTGTGTATTTATTGTATGCGTGCAACCGCTTGTATTTCAGTCAGCTTTGCTAAAACCATGAATGACGTGTGCCCCCCAGTGGCTGGGGAGGCACGACTGCTCTGGCAGTGGCGGGAGCACAGCGGTGGTGAGCGAGGAACTCCCCCAGACGCCAACAGCACTGTCAGCGGCAGGGGGAGAGGTGGTGAGCGCCAACCAGGGGTCAGTGACCATTTGCAGGCACCACTGGCAGTGTTAGCAGCATCCAGCAGGGATTGCTGACTGCCCGCAGATGCTGCTGGTGGTGTTGGCGGCGGGGTGGCGAGCAGCAACTGCCCACAGGTGCTGCCTACAGTGTCAGCAGTGCCTTTTTGCAGGGGGTGCACCGCCACGCTCAGGGGGTGAATGTGCACCCACGTGCACCCCTTATGTGTCGCCCCTGGCTAAAACCTTGATTTGCCAGTCTGAGAAAATGAATCAATCTCTTAGCTAGAACTATGATTTTCTGCCTCAAACAAAACTCTTTGGCTGGATCTCACTCTTCTTTGTTCCTTTCAGACCAAGGAGGGTGTGGAGACCAGTTTCACTTATGAAAACCTTTGTTTAGTAGCTGTTGACCTGTTTTCAGCTGGCACTGAGACCTCCACCACCACTCTGTGCTGGGCAGTGTTATACATGCTTCTCCACCCTGAGGTTCAGAGTAAGTGAGAAGCAGGGGGGGGAGATGTGGTTTGTTTCCTCTGCTCCGTGCCTTCCATGGAGAAATTCTCAATATCTGCTTCACTGTGCTGTAGAAAGGTGAAGCAACAGTAGCAATGGTCATAGCAGTGATGGAGAAGGGCTCGAGGGGGGAGAGTTCCACAGATTTTGAAGTGCTGAGATGAGTAGCACAAAGGCACATGACAGGGGAAGAGAAGGGAAAGCTTTAATTTAAAAACTGCAATGTCAAATGCACTTTGGGACTGTCACAGCTCCTTGGTAGCCTTTTCCATTCTAAGGGTCCCTGTGCCTTCCTAAGGCTAAATGCTCATCTGCCTAAATAATCCAATGCTGGAGGCACCTGTGCATTTCGGGCCCAACAGTGTGGATGAGGTGAGAGATCTCCTAGGTACAAGACTGTTCCCTGGGTTTAATTAATAGAGGATGAATATATAAATTGCCCTGAGTAATTGAAGATGAGCATGATTCCCTGCAGCTCCTATTCCCACCCGCAGCTTCTGATTCCTCTTCTACCACTGTCTACAGAAGGTATTTAGGACTCCTCTCTCTCAACCTGTACCAGCATCCCCCTACATGTCTGGATAAACTCCACCTCCTTAGCAGACCCCTGCCCAAAGTGGTCATCATCTACACCTCTTGCAGCTCACACAAGACTGGACTGTCAGATCAAAACATTAATTAGTATTAGTAGTAGCAGTATATATTACATAAGAATTATTCCCAAAGGTTTCAGTTCAGTCTTGTTCCCCATAAGTGCTAGGTGCTGCACAAAGAGAGAGACAGTTACTGGCCCAGAATATGAAGTCAAGAGGAAGACCATACCCTCCTGCTCCTCTAGGGTTGATGCTCACCATTAGATACCTTATACCTTGCCCACGTAAAACATCCTTTTCCAGGGAAAGTCCATGAGGAAATTGATAAAGTGATTGGCAGGGATCGGTCACCCAACATGCTGGACCAAGCAAACATGCCTTACACCAATGCTGTGATCCATGAAATACAGCGTTATGGGGATATTGTTCCCATTGGACTGCCTCACATGACATACCGGGACACTGAGCTTCAAGGATTCTTCATTCCTAAGGTTTGTGTGGCCAGATGGAGAAGGCAAACTTCCTTTCCCTTTTCAGACTGATGTCCTATTGCTCTAGGTAGTCCATATGGGAATCTCTCCAAAGTTCTGTGAAGAGTGAGGTGTGGTATTAGGCCCTGAATCACATGGTCAGTAGCTAGTTATAAAATTTGCAGCTCTAAAATGGTTTGAAGCTAACACAGGCCCATATTGGAGGTGGAGGTAAGTGAGGTGCACAGGTTGCCTGGAATAGGCTGCAGAAACTCCCCAGGTCACCAGTTGAAATCCAGGATGGATTATCAATAGCTATTTAGAGGCCACTGGATATCTCAGTTCTGGTCTAAGTGGCAACATCTGGCACTAATTGTGCTCCTTTGCTGGCAGCCTTGCTAGAGATGCCAAGATTGTGAAAAGACTACCTTCCCAGTCTGGCCTTAAAATTAGTTCCTTTAGCTCAGGTCTATAGCCTGAGACTGGGGAGAGATCATGATTTTCCCCACAGTCAAATGAGAATCAGCATTGTTTGAGTTGGTGAATTAGGACTGTTTCTGTAGTGCTAAAATCAATCTCACAGCATGCTTTGGAGGTGCTGGGGAATGCAGATAGTTTTCACAACGTGCCTCTCAGTAGACCACGATAAAAATGCCCTTCATATGATGACGTTAGGTAGGACTCGAACCACAAGGGCATCTGGTTTTAAAGTTTCATAGCAAACGTCACGGCCTAGAAAGCGTCCTGTTTCCCTGCACTATTATAGGGGCATCAGAAGTGTTCTCTGCCTCCTTCTGAAGACTGGACAGTGGCCACTACTGGAGATGGGATACTGAATATCCTAAATGAATGTGGGAGAGTTCCTGGCTCTGTGGCTGCTGTTTCAGAAGCTCTGGCCTCCCACTGTTGTTCCAAAGGTGAAAGGAGCTCAGGCTGTGTCCTTTGGCTGCTCAGAGAGACCTGCACAGTCTTCTTCCAGCTCTGGTGCTGGGCTTGTATGGACTCTGGAAAGTGGTTCACAGTGGCCCTATCCTGTAATGAATGCACTGCTCTTCCTTGTTACAGCAGAGTGATGTTTTGGGGGCTCCTGTCCCATGGAGCCACAGGGGAGGTGGTTGGTTGAGAGCCTCTGGTAATTGAGAATCGGAGGCAGGAGGTGGGCTACTGAATACAGAGAGATGTCGCTCTGCTCTGGGGTGGCATATCTTGTGTCCTTACATATCTCTTCTGTTTGTGGGCTGCCTAGGATACGGTCATCATCACCAACTTGTCCTCTGTGTTGAAGGATGAAACCTTTTGGGAGAAGCCGCACCAGTTTTACCCAGAGCACTTCCTGGATGCAGATGGGCAGTTTGTGAAGCGAGAGGCCTTTCTGCCTTTCTCTGCAGGTAAGTCCGTGGGTTGGAACAGCTGGGAGAGACCGTCCAGAGGTCTGTCACTGGACCAGGGGAACGATCTGCCTCTTCTGCTAGTGCCAGCAAGTGGGCATCTTGTCTGTCCATCTGCCTTGGTTCCCTCCCAAAATATGGGCAACTTGCCTGGAGCAGGGCTTGGCAACCTTTTGGCAACTGGGCTGCTGCTTATGACCCAGCCCCTGCCATGGGCTGTGGCATGCAGCCAGCTTTTCCTGCTGCAGAGAGGAGTAAGGGGTCCTGTCAAAGGTAAAGGCCTGACACGTGTCTGATTTGGCAGATTCTCACCTGTGGCCATGTTACAGAAGAGTTTACACTGTCTGGGTACAAGGGTGACATAAGTGTTATCCTTTAAGTTATAAGCCAAATTCATTTGTTTTATTTAATAGGTTTTATTTTAGTCCTTGAATAACTGCTTGAGCACACAGACTCATCTCCTTTGTGCTTTCTGTTGGTGCCTGCCTCTCACTGCCAGGTTCCTAGCTTTGCCTTCTCTGATTGCTCACACAAGAAAATGAGCTCTTTGGTTGCTGACTTCAAAGAAATTGGTTCAAGGATGGAATTGCATTTTATTTGGAGACGGCCTGCTTCTCTGAGTCTTTTTTGGAGCAGCCTCACCAAAAAAACCTCCCCCGACAAAGTCCTGCGTTCATGCTTTCCTCTGCATCTTCTGGTACCGAAGGAAAGGGAATGTTAAGCAATCCACAGAGGCATTTCACCCAAATCCCTCTGTACACAGTCTGTGGACAGATTCTCTACTTCACTTCACTCCAATCTGTGGTCATGCCATGAGGAAGCTCCCCTTTCAGTGTCTCAACTTACAGTTGCTTTGCCATACTCTAACACCACCTTCCTCTTCTTTTCCTCACTCCCGCTCTCCTAGGTCGCCGTATGTGTCTGGGAGAGCAGCTGGCCAGGATGGAGCTCTTCCTCTTCTTCACCAGCCTCCTGCAGTGTTTCACTTTCCAGGTCCCTGAGGACCAACCCAGGCCTCGAGAGGATGGATCTTTTGCCATCACACATTTCCCACATCCCTACCAGATCCAGGCTATCCTAAGATGAATGCAGATGTCTGCTGAGTTCTCCTCGGATGCTTCAAGAGTGTTTAGTATATGCTTAATACTTTGAGAACATCTCTTCAGAGCTTATTAACTGCATTTGAGGAATGCAGGGCTGAAACAGTTTCAATGATGGGCTATGGGATGTGATTCTGTAAACATGCTATTTGTCTGTTATCACCACATATGTTCCTGTCACATTTACGTGCATAAAACCAGGATGATTTCCCCCCTGAGACAAGGTTCGCTGTCACGTTTGCTAGTACACCTCACCTCTGCTTGTATGTGCAGCAGATCAGGACATTTGTTAAGTAAATGGACTGTCTTCTGCTGATGCAAACTGACTTGGAGGTAGCTGTGCCAATGCTTGCCACCAGTATGGAATTAACAGACAAGTATGTCTTTGGTTCTTTCTCACCTGAAGAGAACACACTTGCATGATATGGTCCCAACATCACCCATGTTTCCTGAATATATGCAACATGTAGGGCCTTGCTGCTGTTCTGATTAGGTTCTGGCACTTTCAGAAACATAGGGCATGGGGTAGCCTATAGTAGACCCTAAGCTGCTTAACAGCAATACGTTATAACATTTGCTCGACCAGAGTTTGGGTAAGAGAGGAAGAGGCAAAGGATATAAAGGCTAGGGACGGACATTCAAAAAGCCTGAGCCTGGATTGATTCAATCTTTGCAGGTTAGTCTAACCTGGTAAGGCTAAATCAGCTTGTAACCACACAGACATCCCAGACATGCAGACACATGCCTGCAGTGGCTTAGGCTAGAAACCGGGTGGGCACTAGAGAAGCCCTCCCTTCTCCTCAACAATACTGAGCTATGGGAGAGGCGTGGCCCCAGCAGGATGCTCTGATTAGCCCAGGAGGGAATTGATAACAGTGTTTATCACCCCTAACTCAGTGTTTATTACCCCATTAAGAAAACAACAGGGGGACATTACCAACTATCTGTTGTTTCTGCCTTTGTTCCATCTGCCACCGCACGGACTGTAGCCAGCATGTGGTCTGCTAGCTAATACGCAGACACCTCTCAGAAAGGCAGAGGGGAGGGGGAAATTCAAGGTTAGCAGGGAGTGAGGCGGGGAGCAGCCTGCAGTCTCTGCCAGAGCTGCAGCCACCGGAGCCCCCGCCGACGGCGCAGGCGGGGGGGGGGGGGGGGGGGGCCAGTTCTGCTGTGGAGCAGAGAGCCCCATCCAGCCCAGAGAGTATGCTGGGATGCTGGGGGAAGCTGGTTTATCTTAAACCAGAAAGGGGTCTGGGACAGACATTGCATAAACCGGTTTGAGCCAAATCAGTTACATCTGCTACTACAGTCAATCAGGTTTATCTCAAACTGATTTCGGCCATTTTCAAGCTGATTTATGTTCACTGAGCATCTGTTCTGTTACAGGTTTAAACCAGTTTCTGATCACTTAAACTGGCTTATGTGTAATGTCTGTTCCTAGCTGAACAGGCAAGAAAATGTTATACATGACAAAAGTTCAGAAGACAAGCAGAAAGACAAGGTAAGATAGTTATCTTTGGGTCACAAGTAATTTAGTGTTTTTATACCAGGTGGATCTGGTTTAGTGCAGATGCAGCTTATACGGATGATTAAACATAGGTATTTCTTCTTGAAAATAAGCAAGATATGCCCAATAATCACATTTGATAGAGTTCGTATTAATATTCATGATGAAATAACCTGCGAGGAACATTTCTATATTTTCTAACTTTATTTAGCAAGCTTTTGAAGCTGGCCCAGGTAATTGAGGATCAAAATCCAGCTTCACCTTAGAATCTTTGCTCGTCAGCTTTGATACATGGTTCTTGCTGAATGGCCCACCTGCAGATGAACCAAGATAAGCATATCTCTGACATTTTTAGTCTCTAAATATAGGTAAGAAGATCTTTACAGAAGACACCACTGAAAGGAAAACTGTGATGGTGAATGTGATGAAGGTGCAACAAAGGTATCTGAGACGGTGAAGAAAAAATTTACCATATTTTCTTGCATACCATGTTCCCCCAGATAAGACATGCACCTTGTTTTTGGGGAGGCACAATGGAGAGAGAAATTTTTCCATCATTATGGCTGCATAGAGCAGGGACAGATAAATCTTCATCTTGCCTTCCATTTCCTGCTTTACCAAAAGCTGTTTAACCCAAGACTGGCTCTCTTCCAATACAGAACTGTTCCCCCTGAAGTCACAGAGCAAGGCTGATTCTGACTTGTGGCACCTTGCTATACTCACCACACCTCATTACACCCTAACTGCTGCTAAGATTGGTCCCCATTGATGGATCTATGATTTTGAAAAGAGTTAAAATATTCTGCAAGGCTGTGAAATAGGTGGAGAGAGAGCAGGAGTAGCTAAAGACAGGAAAATTGCCAGAAGAAAGGTTAGGAGCAAGCTATCCCAATGCAATGGAAGAATGGGAAGTTTAACAGGAGACCAGCCTGGCTAGACAGCAGTCTTTTCAATCAGTTGAAATGCAAAAAGGAATCTATGCCACATGAAATCTCGGTCATATTACTAGGGAAGAGTATTAGTGTTGCATGGGCACGCAAGGAGAAAATTAGGAAGGCCAAAGCACAATTTGAGATGCAACAAGCAAAGGACATAAGGCAAAACAAGAGAAGGATTCACTAAGTATGTCAAAAGTAAGAGGAAGACCAAAGAGACCATTTATCCCTTTTGGTATGATGAAGGTAACCTTAGTTACAGATGATGCAAAGAAGCCTAAAGTAATGTGTTGTTTTTTTTTACTTCAGGCTTCACATATAGGGTCAGCTACCAGTGACTAGCACTTTTGGCAGTAAAGACAGGAAAGAAGATAAACAGCCTGGAGTGTGGAAGAACAGGTTAGGAATTACTTAGGGAAGCTAGATGCTTTCAAGGTGGCAGGGGTGGATGGGGTGCACCTTAGAGTACTGAAGGAACTTGCTGAGGTAATTTTGAAGCCATTTGCTACTCTTGGAGGTTGCGTGAGTCCTGGATAATTGGAAAAGGGCAACTATAATGCCCATCTTTAAGGAAGAGAAGAAGGAAGTTCTGGGAAATTACAGACAAGCCTGACCTGACCTCAACACCTAGAGAAATCATGGAACAGGTCCTCAAGGAATCTATTTCAAAGCATCTAGAGGAGACCAAGGTGATCAAGAGCATCCATCATGGATTCATCAAGAGCAAGTCATGCCTGTTCCATTTGATTTCCTTCTATGGTAATGTGACAAATTTGCAGATGACACCAAGTTGGGTGGAACTGCAGACACTCCGGAGGGTAGGGCTAGGGTCCAGAATTACCTAGATAGACTGGAAAAATGGTTTGCAATTAACTAAATGAAATTCAACAGAGATAAGTGCGAAGTTCTACACATTGAATAGAATAATTGCATGCATAATTAAAGGCTAGGGAACAACTGGCTAGGCTGTGATACTGAAGAGAAGGATTTATTGGGTTGTAGTACAGTATAAGCTGAATATGAGCCAACAGTGTGCTCAGTGTGCCAAGAGCATACTGAGCAGTGTTAACAGGAGCATTGCTTGCAAATCAAAGGAAGTGACTCGTGCTCTACAATGAAAGTGCTGGTGAGGCCTCACTTGGAGTACTCCGTCCAATTTTGGCCCCACACTTCAAGAAGGATGTGGAGAGTTTGGAAAGAGTCTAGCATAGAGCAACAAAAATGATTAGAGGCCTGGGAAGCAGGCTAGGACAGGCTGAAAGAACTAGTGTTATTTAGTTTGGAGAAGAGAAGGCTGAAGAGGGGTTTGATAATAGTCTTCAAATAGCTGAAGGGTGATAGACTATTCTCTGTGGCAAACTGCAGCAGAAGAAATGTAGATTCGAGACCAGGAAGAACTTTCTGACTATGAGGGTGATTAAGCATTGGAACAGGTTATTCAGAGAAGCTGTGGAATATCCATCCCTAGAAATTTTCAAAAGTAGGTTGTACAGACCCTGGGCTAAGATGATTAACCAGGGATGATCCTGCCTTGAACAAGGGGCTGGACATGAGGTCCCTTCCAGCTTTACTTTCCTATGATCTCCCAGGCTATAGAGAGGACCAAAGCCCTTTCAACTCCCTTCAGGTAGTGAGGAACAGGTGGAATATATTTGGTGTGCTGAACATCAGGGTAGGTATAGTTTAAAAGGAAAGAGGTATTCCAAATGTGAAGATGATCTAGAGGGGGTGGGAACCAAACAATAAGGTCAGGTAGAGCCAAACATTTTTCTTCACCAACTGCCACCCCTTGCAACATTCAAGTGTGCTTCAGTGTAATGAATTGTAGGTTACCTAATTGTTTTAGTTGTTCATGCATACTTTGCAGGCTGTCTATTTAATCCTCATTTCTTCATAAACAATATGGTCAGTTGCAAGATCTGCTTCTGCTCCTTCAGCAACTTTTTCCAGTCCTTTCCTATTTGTAAATTGTTGGTGGTAGTACTGGGTGGAGACCCCTTTAAGGTGGTGGGCCTGCCCACTCCTGGCTCTTCCCTTTTTGGACTGTATAAGAAGGGAGTCAGGAAGAAACCTGGTAGTTGTAGCCTGGCCACCAAAGAAGTTAGAGTGCCTGAGTTAGTTAGTTAGAGCAACCTGGGGCTGCAGAGCATGGAGAAAGGCCCGAGAGCAGATCAGCCAGAAAACCAGGGGCTGCAGAGTGTGGTGGAGGCACAGTCATGCAGCTGGCAAGCAAAATCACAAAGGTAATATTGGTAAGAGTCCTACTTCTACTATTACTACTGGTTTGCAGTCAGTGATTGCTCATGACTTACAGTGCTAGCAACTGGGGTTAGATCCCAAGACTGCCTGTCCCCTAATGTCAGTGCTGTAATCATTAGGCTTCACAGTCAGGCTGGCTTCCTTGGTCTTCTCTTGGCCCCATGACTGCTGCATTTGATCTGGTTTCAGGAGGTGGAGTGTGCCATCCCCCCACCAGCTCTATAGCTTGGTAGTTAGGGCCCTCTCCTGGGAAGTGAGAGATGTGGATTATTCTAAAAAATCAACCAAATCCAATGAATGCATAAGTTGAATGGACTGTACATGTATCATTGCCATCCAAAGTGACTAAAAATGCCCTTGTCAGATGTATTACCAGGATATGGCTAGTCAGAGCTTGACCCCAGAGGGTCACAACCCTGGGGATTAGCAGGAGAGAAGGTCAGGAAGCAAAGGTCCCAACTAGAGCCATGGGATCAGGAGGAGGTGGGGTAGGAGGCCAAGGTCCATAAGTCTCCAGGACACAGGTGGTCACCCTGAGTAGAGTCATGAGCTGGGGCTATGGCAGGGTCAGGAACAGAATCCAGGGTTACAACATGGTGTCACTCTCCAGGAGGTGTGGAGCAGACAGCTATAGATATACAGGACTGGGATGTGGGCAATTGCCCAACTAAGCCAGCATCTGGGGGCTGACTGACAAAAGTCTGGGATGGAGTCAGGAGAACAAGAGTGTGGTTTGGGGGTCAAGAAGCCAGCAGTCTGGAGCATAAGGGGTTAGGAACTGGAAAAGCAGTCTGGAGCATAGGGGTCCAGGCTGAGGTCTGGAACAAGGAGTCAGCAGACAGGAACTGATGGGCAGGAATAAAGATGAAGTCAGGGAGTCAGCAGGCAGAACCCAGGGAACAAGAAGGTACAAACCAGGAAACAAAAGAACAAGGAGTTAACAACCCAGAGCTAGACAGAGGTAGGCATGCCCACTGATGGATTCAGATGGTACGTCAGTGTGGTCACACCCTCCTTTCAGACCCTGCCATGGGAGCAACACCGGACAACACTTACTGAAGTTCTGAAGCAGGTGAGAATCCCATCGCCTCTCCTCTCAACACCCCCTCCCTTCCCCTTTGTGCTCAGTGGTTATGTACCCTTGCTTCCCATTCCTCCCTCCCCCTCTGCTCACTGCTGCTGCTGTCTCCAACTAACCCAGGGGGCGGTGGGGTTCAGATCTTCTCTTGCCCTGCACCAGATGGGCTGTGCTCAGCTTGGGATAGCAGCAGTGACAGTGTTCCCTGACAGCTTGGGAGCACAGGGGAACCCATCTTTTGCTGCCCTCAGCCAAGCCTGGCTCCCTATGCAGTTACTTCC